ATTTGAGACTTCAATTTGTGTAACACGGCAGCAGCCTGGCAGCGCAGTGAGATGCCAACTTGCCTTTGGATTAACTGTAAACCGCCCTGTGACTTTCGGGTATAGGGAGGTGTATAAGTTGAATTAATAATAATAATAATAATAATAATAATAATAAAATAAAAGATAGACCACCCTCTGGCTACCTTGCTATAGACAGAATGGGTATCAGGCATGCAGGAAAGAAGACAGCAACCTGGGCAGCCCTTGAAATAATAGAGTGTCCAGTATGAAAGAGGATACCAGGTCACCCTTGCTGGGACTGAACTCTGATGGGAATTTAAGCTTGGCTCTTTTTTTAATGGGCAGGGTCAAACTCCTGAGCTTTGTTTCCCAAACTTTACAACTGCAAGCCCAAGCACCACCATTAATCTTAACTAAGCTTATTACTTGACTCAGTTGAAAAATCGGGTGCATACACAAACCTTGAGAATAATATGGTATTTGGCATCACTTTGGGTGCACCCTCAATTTGGATATCCTACACTCTCTGCCTCACCTCCCCAACAGTATTTAGTGTTGCTTCTATTCACTCTGGAATCTCCCGTCCAAGTTAACTTTAGTTGCCACATTTATTAATGATAAACTCTTATGACTCATGGACTTCCTTCTGATGAGTTGTGTTAGCTTCAATAAATGAAAAAGGGGGGATGGAATAAAGTTTTAGACTGGATTAACTACAGTGTGGCATGTCATTGTGTTAGAAATCAAGAGTTCTTTTGTCCTATGTCATTAAAGCTGCTCTCATTAATTGGTAACTGACAGTGCTTTATTCTACTTAGAAAAGAAGAGTAGGAAAGATGTTTCCAGACATTTGTGACAGAATTTCTTAGCTCTTACTGCTAAAAGTACAAAAGAAATATAACCTGAGCAGATTATATTAGATTGACACTGTTTACTCAAATGAGTTTTCTGTTTGCTTTGATCATATGTATTTCCTCCACCCTTTGCCTTGAGTACCCATTCTAAAAAAGGTAAAACAGTCTCTTGGGTAAGACTTAAAGGCAGAGGACTAGATGTTTCCTCTCATCTTACACCATGAACTGCCCACGTTCTGGTGGCTGTTGCAGGAATTTATGTATAGGTTGGGGGGGGGGTTGCCCCTCCAGCAGATATAATGCACATGCAGCCCACTACCAAAACCAGCACAACCACTTTTGTGATTTTTGTGATTTGTCCCCACAAAACACCCCATCACAGTTTCTTCCTATCTGTTCAAAGGGCCTTTGCTGCATGATACCAAATGTAACAATTCACTGATAAACGTATCTATGTACTGGCTCACTGGGAAAACTTCAGAAATTCATATAGACATGTGAGCTCAGCTACTCAGCAGCCCCTCTGCCTGAGTGATAATTCCTGGCATCCTGATACCTGAGTGCCAGACCAGTAGCCATTCCAGAAATAACAAACCCAGTTGAAGACAAAAGGATGTGATTAACTTGGCTGGGAAACAGGGAAATGTAAATATCTTTTTTGTTACACTTGACGGGTGTTTGGTGGAGGGCAAGGAGAACCATGGGGCAGGGTCCAGGATGCTCAGATTACTGCCACCAGACCTCCCCTTTCATGATGTAACCGTGATGTATGAGTGATGTAGTTTTTTGGGGGGTGTAACATGGAGATCCTACTGGCTCCTGTTTTGCTCTGGTATTTCTGGCTGGTGTCCTTGTATTTTTGTCCAAGGGAGCCCTCAGATTTCTCTGTTAACATGGCTAATCATACAAAAATGCTCCAAAGGTTAACATTACAAATGAAATGTACACAAGCATGTGTGCATACATGCACCTGTCCCCCTACAATACAAGCTAAACATCAAACACCTGTTAAGAAAAATGAACTGTACAGGCGACATGGGGAATAAAACTGGAATTGCTTAATGAAGAGCAGTTCCTTGATGGAAATTAAATTTTGCAGGAATAATTGATTGCAGTCTAAACACAAGTGGAAAATGGGATTTAGACTAGAGACAGGTGGCAGTTTGTTCAGAGAGTTGAAGGAAGTATTCCATTCTATTGGTGTGTACAGTCAGATGTGTCCACCCTCCACCCCTACCAGTCGTTTCTGGCCAAATGGGTTTTGTAAGCGCTAGAAAAATGTGCAAAACTGGTAAACAGATATGATAGCTAGATGAATGATATATACCTTGGGCAAACATGGTTCTATTGTGCCCCTTCAAGGTGAGAGAGCTGGTGTAGCATCATAGGGAGAGAGAGAAATCAAAAAGCCCCTGGTTCAAATCTCAACTACCGTATTTTTTGCTCTATAAGACTCACTTTTTCCCTCCTAAAAAGTAAGGGGAAATGTGTGTGTGAGCAAATGCAGGCTGCGCAGGTAGCCCAGAAGCCAGAACAGCAAGAGCTCTTGTTGTTCTGGCTTTTGAGATTCAGAATATTTTTTTTCTTGTTTTCCTCCTCTAAAAACTAGGTGCGTCTTATGGTCTGGTGTGTCTTATAGGCCAGAGAATACGGTATGTCATGAACTCACTAAGTAGTCTTAGGCATGACATACTCTCTTAGGCCCAATCCTCCATCTACAGTATGGGGGAAAATAATAGTGACCTACCTCACAGTGCAGTTTTAATGGATTACAGGCACGGTATACATTTTAACCAGTGCTGAATTCTTTCAAATATTTTCCAGATACTCTTAAATGGTCTACTGCTGTTTTCTTGTAGTGTCATCATCTTATTTCCCCTTCCCATTTCACATTTCACCCCTCCCCTCTGAACTGGGTATTTTAGTTTGCATTTAATATAAGATGGTCCAAGGACCAACTGGTAAGGAATGTTGTTTTTTAAAAAATAAAAATAAAAAATAAAATACAGCACAACACAGCTTTGAAGACAGGATGGTTAAAAAGGACTTTAAGAAAGAACATTATGTTATGAAAACTGGGCAGAGGGGTGGGAAGCTCCTCATCTTCTGTTGACTCCATCCAAAAATTCACCCTTAAAGCAAAAGACACGCCCCCCCCCTTATATGGGATGCTCTGGATTTTATCTCACTCAAACCACAAACTAAGTCATCCCCACCTAAGATACCCAAAGCTCGATGACAGGATTTGTCCATAACATTATCCTTGCCCACATATCCCTAGTGTCAGTGTTTTATTAATTCTTAATGAAAGGCAAGGTTTTACTGTCTACTATGGGAGAGAGGAAGAGAGAAAGAGAGAAAGAGAGATATTAGTAGGGACTATGCTAGATTATTTAGTCCAATGCAAGGGTTGCCCAAGACATTCTGGTGGCTAAAGAGGGAAATTCAAATAGCATCCACTCACCATTAGCTAGCATGGAATATAATTCACTGGGATGTTTTCTTGTGCAAATCTCATGGAAATGAATGGCAGAACTACAACTCTACCACTATTTTCTGTTCTTCCTCTGAAGGGAAGAGATGGGAACCTGGACTAAGCCATCAACTAGTAGGGATCAGAAAAGGGTGCCATGCACAAATCCATCTATCTTTACATTGTACCTTTTTGTTATGTTTTAATTAGTGTAAGCTGCTCCGGGAGCCACACTTCACTGAAAAGTGGGGTATAATAAATAAATAAAACATTTATTAAATACTTAAAATCAAGATTGAGTGTTAAGTAGCCTTAGGTATAAAATGTAATAAAAGGTAAAAAAACAACAACCCCAAACATTCATAAATGTGTATAAAGCCATTACCAGGACATCAGACAGAAATCAAAGAAATCATGACCATCTCTCTCACGCAGGCTTTTAGTACTGTGTAATAGAAGGAACAGAAAGCAGAACTAACCCCCCTCCCCTTGAACAGCAGGATGAAAATCGAACCCTTGAAAATTGAAAAGTGGAAGATGCCAGAAGAGATTCTTCAATGTCTCAGCTATTTACCAGAGAGATCTTTTCTCATTTGCTGATGGCTTTGGCAGACCTGGTTTTGTCACCAGTCACTCTGTACTTGGCTTAATTATGCAGCAGCCCAACAGAAAATTTTCTTTCTGATCACATAAATCACCTTGCTTTGACACCAAGCTCAATAGGGGCTGCTAGAACAATACTGCAAGAGCTATCGACTCCATCTCTCAAGTCCACAAGGTGTATCATTTAGCCAAGAGTGATAATTAGACGCAGAATATACTGAAAACTGTCAATAGGCATGTCAATAGAGGGACTCTTAGATCTAACATCCAGCAAATCAATGGTGGTTTTCAGCTATAAAATCAAGAAAATGATAGCTTTCAAATGAATGGTGGAAGGAAACACAAGGCTCCTTGGGGAGGAATAAAACAGCTCAATTTTCCCTCACTGAGTGGCTCTCCAACTGCCGCACTCAATGAAAAAGGTCACAGAACATTACAGAAAAAATATCTCTGAAACAAGATGTACAACAACACTGGGACATGACATGAGGTACAAGCATGCTACAAAGGCCTGCATATCTCTGACCTGACAGCATTAAAGCACGGATCAGCAGATGCCAGACAAGACAGGAACTGAAAGACAATGATTGATCTATGCAGAGGAAAATATGATTCTTATGTCCTGATCAAGTATCTGTTTGGGCAGATCGTACACACAGGATTCCGACTCTCCTGCATGTGAAATCCTTGGTGCTAAGCCTAACATTTTAAGGAAGTATCACAAAGTTCTCGCAGAAGATGCATACAGTGCTTTCGGATGCTTCTGACACAATCTCTCTCTCTCCTGTCCCCCTCCCAACCCTGATGCCCTTACAAAGGCAATCAGGCCCAATTCAAAACTGAAACATAAAAATAAATTTATAAATACCCATGGGGCATTCCATGCATAGCGTCTACTTGGCCCTCAGTTGCTATGCAGACACTTAGCGTGTGAATACGATGTCAATTCAAGTCAAGGATTCTGACATGCTAACACTGTATGAATAGGAGAGCCAACTCAGTTTAGACAAGATTAAATAACCACATGGAATAGCTCTTTCTTTCTTTCTTTCTTTCTTTCTTTCTTTCGGCATTGGTGAAAGAAGAAGAAGAAGAAGAGTTTGGATTTGATATCCCGCTTTATCACTACCCGAAGGAGTCTCAAAGTGGCTAACATTCTCCTTTCCCTTCCTCCCCCACAACAAACACTCTGTGAGGTGAGTGGGGCTGAGAGACTTCAAAGAAGTGTGACTAGCCCAAGGTCACCCAGCAGCTGCATGTGGAGGAGCGGGGACGCAAACCCGGTTCACCAGATTAGGAGTCTACCGCTCTTAACCACTACACCACGCTGACTCTCTCTTTCACTGGAATGAAAATATTCCTCTTCACCCAGACCTTTGCAGTGTTATACTGTAAACCACCCTGTGATCCTTGGATGAAGGGCTGTTTATAAATTTAAAAAATAAATAGAAACTCTGTGTATTCTGTACTAAAAGTCTAATCTTATAGGCAATCCTATGGGTACACATATTTTTTATTGAGTATTATTATGTGAATATATTTCTACACTAAAAATTTTTGAAAATTATAAAGTCTTGAATGTCTTGATGTGCAAGAAATGCCCTGTTTACTGTCTCTCAGCAAAATATAATCTGTCACTTTTGCTACTTCTGTAAGGCTTCGGATCTTGCTTGGCCATTCTTCCAACTGAGGTAAGCAATGCTTTTGTTACAATTAATAAAATAATTTTGTTACAATTAATAAAACACAAGCTAACCCATAATGTGCCTTTCAAACTACTCTGCCAAAATAGCCCAACAAATTATTTGATATACTCTTCGGGTAAAGCATGCTAATCAATTAGGCTATCACATGAAAAACTACCTTTATAGCACTGGAGATAGATAGGCAATGTCACTGAAATATTTAATGACCTGGTGCAGAATATGAATCTGTCCAGCTGCTAATGGTCAGTTGCATTGAAAAGCTATTTGTTTGAAACACTGTGTATATGTATAATGTGTGTGTGTGTGTACACACACACACAGAAACAAATACAGCTAAATTACAAATTGAGCATAATTTCCTCCAGAGGTTCTCCTGCAACCAAAGCCAGCTGTTTTATAGTTGTGGGCACTCCCTTACTCTCATCTGTGGTTGTGAATTATTTAATCTGACCACCCAATATATCTTTTGTATCTGGGTCCATTCTCTCTGTTGTTTCTTGCAAACTTTTAACATGGTTGTTACCTCCATCCAGCTCTAAAATTCACTCTTATTTCTTGGTGTTTCTATTTGGAAAACGAAGGGATGCTGAATTTTCAAGGGGCTATGGCTGATACCGAGAACTACAATTGTCAAAGAGCTCTACAATGAGGTGTGCATGCACAGCACTATCAGCATGCATGTGTCAATATTACAACCAGAAGAAGAGCTTTCCTCCTCCTCTAACATTCACAGGAAAAGTGTGTATATATTGAGTAGCAATGTCAGAGAATTCCATCAAAAATGGAAACAGGAACAGAAATTGCTGCAGTTTGAAAGTTCACCCAAGGTCAGGTACGGAAATCACACAAGTAAGTACAAACAGTATCCAATATCACTGTTTCTTTAGTCTACAAACATTGTGTAGATGTTATTTTCTGCATTGTCTTTGGTGTTTCTCTTCCATTGAAAATTGATTCTGTAATTTTCATGCCTTTAGTTTCAGCCATAGCAGATAGCAAGATGAACCATGTATATTTTAGCAGAAGCCGAACTGTAGTGAAACAGAAACAGCACTGATTGCAACAAACAGAGGATGGGATGGAAATCGCTGCCTCCTGGCATTTGTAATCTTGAGACAAAACTTTAATTGAGTCAATGAGAGAGCAGCCATCAGTGGAGGCAGATACTAGCAACAAAGATTTCTGTACCAGTATTGCACTGATCCCTGGACCCTGGACCTCTTTTTGGTTAGAGCAGCCCAAAAAAGTTAAAACAAACTTTCTCCCTTCTTAATTCCACCCCCCACCCAATTTATTTTAATAATTAAAGTTTTTTTTAAAAAAAAACACCTTAATATCATGAAAATTGTAAGATATTTACGTGCTATTTACTGTGCTTTAATATGCAACTATTGTATACAAGAAAGATGAGAGAGACACTCTTGTACTCTGTTAGTGCAAAGCTGTGTATTCACCAAAGTTACCAAATAAAATGAACAGCCGTTTCTAAAAGGGAAAAAAAAAGTAACAGCATTTTCCTTTGGGGCGACATTATTTTCATGCCTTTAATAAATACTTAACTGCACATCTGCACAGCTTGGAGAGGCTTGATCTTGTGCGTTAACTATTACTAACAAGCCCCAGCTTTTCCTGGGTGAATAAATGCAGACTTATTAATTAATGCACTTAACAATTTAAGTGGGATAGAAAAATATACTTTATTTTTAACTGTGCAACAGACTTTATCTGATTATTTTTCTTTAAATCTGAAAAATGCAGCAACTTTAAATGGAATGTGAATTAAACACAAAATCTGTTAAAGTATAATCATGAAATTGCTTTTATAGGTTGACTGTGCTTGCTTCTATAAAAATAACAAAGAAACCAATAAACATAAAGTCTGGGGGAGAAACATTTTACATATCACACTTATAAGCTTGGTAGCTCATGTTCTATTAAGGAGTTGATCAGAGGCACTATCATAAATTTCAGATGAGGAAATGAAAATTCCTACCATTGTATATGATCACCTCGAGAAATTTATGAATGAGGGAAAGGAAGGAAGGAAGGAAGGAAGGAAGGAAGGAAGGAAGGATGGTTTGGCAAAGGTGGTCAAGTTAACTGACCAATTCAAAAGCACTGGATCACTCTAATATTCCAGGTTAAATTGGAAAAAAAAATTAAATTACTAGTATATTTGAGTAGTGTTTGGTCAATTGCTGGGTGTTCCCCCCTCCCCACCAAAGCTCTCTACCATTAGGTAGAATAAGGCAGCTGTCTCAGGCAGCTGGTTTTAGGTGTCATAAAAGGGCAGAATATTGTTCGCTATTTAAGTTAATCTTATTTGGAATTTTTACTGCCAGGGAGCGGAAGAGGCACTTGTGTGAGTTTCTGCCTCAGGTACCAAAATACCTTTAATAGTCTTAGGTACTGTGCAACTTGACCTGAGTGGGGGCACCATTTGCTGCTGCTCCTCCTCAAGGCAGCCTTGCTTTTTCATTGCACTACTGTATCCATAGTAGCATTACCAACACAAATCAGTCACCCATTTTTTTGCAAAGGGATCATGCCTTTGGCACGCATACCCTATTTATTCAGACAAACTAACTGTCTTTTAGAAACTCGTTAAAAATAGTCACTCAATATGTAAAAGCAATAAATTTCAGAGTTACCATACGTAATATAACTACAGAACATGCTTTCGTGTCATATCTGCACACTCTTCCCATTAATATTTGAAAAGGGCTTGTCTTTGAGGACAGGTGTTTTGCAACACTTGTAGCGTACAGTTCACATTACTTGGCCAGCAGCTCGAAAGCTCTCAATGGTCTGGTGGCAAACAGACCCTTACAATTATATGCTGTGGTACTCCTTCCTTACGTTCAGATTACTTAAAGGTAAAGGTAAAGGGACCCCTGACCATTAGGTCCAGTTGTGGCCGACTCTGGGGTTGCAGCGCTCATCTCACTTTATTGGCCGAGGGAGCCGGCGTACAGCTTCCGGGCCATGTGAGCAGCATGACTAAGCCGCTTCTGGCGAATCAGAGCAGCGCACAGAAACGCTGTTTACCTTCCCGCCGGAGCGGTACCTATTGATTTACTTGCACTTTGACGTGCTTTTGAACTGCTAGGTTGGCAGGAGCAGGGACCGAGCAACGGGAACTCACCCCGTCATGGGGATTCGAACAGCGACCTTCTGATCGGCAAGTCCTAGGCTCTGTGGTTTAGACCACAGCGCCACCCGCGTCCCTCATTACTTAGGGCTTCTCTATCTCTTAGCAGGATTACTTACCAAGTACTGTGCTTTTCGCACCACATGATAGTAGTTTCCACTATCTCCAATCTCTAGGTGATAGCAGCACTGATAATAACACTGAACATCAGGGCATCTTGTGGATGTTTTCCTTCACAGACTGCACATTGCCAAATAGGAGCATAGAGAATTATGAAAAGAAAAACAAAGTATTGCATAGTTAAGGGTGGAAGAGTAAGTGTAATAACTGAGGCCACTCCATATCATGTTACTGCACGTTGCCCAAACTCTAAATGGAAAGTATAGTTGCTACAAATCACCAATTTACCAAATTGCTCTTCCTACACCCATGTCTTTCTCATGAGAGGGTATAAATGCATATGTGCTCATATGCATGCCATATTCACATTTTTCATGGCTTAAATATACCTATTTTAGTAAATAGATATTATGTCATATCATGCCTTTGGATAGTACCACATTTCATGACATTGCAGTGAGTTACAAGTAGCTATACCACCCTATACCTAAGCTGTTGGTTGGCATGCTAGTTTTAAAGATCAAGTTACAGATTGACTCAGTTGCAGGGGGGAATTGCACATTACCTTGGCATGCATGTGTTCCTAAAACTATATTTGCCAAAGTAATGTGAATGCAGGGGGCATTGTAGAAGATAATCCACGGGCAGGAGGCAACATTTAATCCTTCCAACACCCACCAACTCTTCCCTACAGATGCCTGACAGGCCACTTTATTCCAAACTGGGTTTATTTCCAGTCTTGCAGCCCAGCTGTGGGTGGGTGGGAAACAAGTAAAAAAGTACTGCATGGGAGACAGTTGCAGAGGAGCACCAGTGGCTGAGGAAAAGGTTAAGCAGCTCTCTACTGCCCGCTAATTGTCCCCAAAGAAGGCTTCACCCCTACATTAGCATTACAAGGCAAACCTAGAGATTGGAATCCCATGTCTGACTAATAAAGTGTGAATTGCTGCCCTTAAATTCAGGTTTTTACAACAATTTCATCAACCCCCCAAATAGACATAAAGCATCTCTTCTATACTTTTTAAAAATATCACTCCAATAAGTGCTTTTAAAACATATCGCAGCTATGATGGAGACAATCTGAACAAAGTAGTCATTAGAGGACAGAATGCAAGGTAGACAATGGCTTAGCGAGTGACAAAACCATTGCACTAATAAACAGGGCTTTCAATATGTAAGATTTAATGATTTGGGGGTGCATGTGGTTTGCTTTTAAACCTAGAAATATGCATCTATTATATCAGCATGCAATCGCATTATTAAAACGTACGCCTGACATTTGTCATAAGCTTCTGCTGATTAAGTTAAATTATATCACCAGTGTCTAATTCCTCTAAACTTCATTTCTTCCGCAGCTCATAAAAATATGTTATATGTTCATCATTTGAATTTCACATGCATAATGGTAATAGTAACAACAATAAAAAGACTTCATTAGCAGAACAATATATGCTAAGATCCTATGTAATTTTCATGTTCTTAACGGCAACTGTGTGAATTCGGGATACACCTAAAATATTGTATATTAATTTCAATATGGTTAATAACCTCCCTGACAAGAATCCCACTAATTTACTCTTCACTGACAATGTTAAAAGAAAATGATTTATGCAGATCAATCACCTAACTCATCAAGTCATGCGCTGACAGCCAGCCTTCATCATTGCTATTTAAAAGGCATGGCTGACAGCAAAGACAGACTCTTTGATTAAGGGCTCTGTCTGGCTAACCTTTTATTTGAAGAATGATTGCTGCTGAGTGACAAATACTTTTCCATTCATTTAAAGGCAAAGATATTGACATTCAAATTCTTGATGTCTACACTGAGCAGATGCCACTGTTGGCAAGTGGCTTGATCGCAACAGCAGGTATGCCGCTACTCTTGGGGGCAAAAAAAACCCCTAGCACTACTGGCTTGAGTTAAAGGCTTGCAACAAGTGCCGTCTACAGATCTCGCAGCCAAATCCTCTCTCTTCAACAGCTATCATTAGAGAACATCTGCTTGTTGTTTCTCCCTGGCCCTCTTCTCGTGAAGTGTCCTACCCTCACCTTCACCCCACTTTTCAATCCTATCAGATGCTATTACTAAAAATAAAGAGAACTCGGCAGTGGAGCGACCCTTTGCATGAGAAGGGCATCCTCCCTCTCACACATAGCATCCCTGAATACCAAAGAGCCGGGAATTCCCTAAGCAAGGACTGCCTATTCCTGTACTAATGCGATTTCTGTTGACAGTAATGTGAAATGGAAGTTGCATTTGCTGTATCACATACAAAAATCAAAGCCAATATGTTTGTTGCTTTAAGCTGATCCTGCTGTCACTTTCTACTTTATTGCTTTATAAAAATGAAAAGGGGGGAGGGGGAGGAAAACGAGAGAGGAGCTGACCAGAGAAAATGTATTGACAAGTTCTGTAATGCACTGAAAATAAAGAGCTTTTTGGCGTACCTTTATGATATACAGGCACTGCTTAATTTACAGGTGTTCTAATTAAATGCAGAGTTTTAATTACTTGAAAATGTTCATGATTTTAAGTGCTGTTTGCACAGCAGCAACTGTTGGGGTTCATTTCTGTTAAAAATTGAAGTACACAAGGATCTTCAGGGTTTCATTCAAGGTTGAAAGAAATAACCGGTTTCATCAAGCCACCATGAAGGAAAGGACACAGCAAACGTGAGGTGTGGGGAGGAGGAAATTCTGTCCACCTTGCGATATTTCCCTCTCTACAGGTCCCCCCCCCCAATGTTTACACCTCTTTCCTCACAAGTCAGTAGGGTGCAGAATTGTGACAGGTCAGTGATTAGGGATTTCTCCTTTCCTATAGGTGCCATTTTTACTACTTTCAGCCAGCTTGTTGTCTGAACTGAAATACTGTTGCAACTATAATGAATCTTCTCAGTTGGATCAAGTTACCTCCTAAATCATAAAGTCCCTCAGAGTAAGAACGGCTATGAATATCCACAGAAGGAACATTTGAAAGATACAAATTTACTTTCCCCCTAGTCCTCCTGGCCCATAGTCTTAACATATGGGGCCATATACTGTCACAATACTGTACATATCCTAGTGTGATGTTAAGTTAACATCACAAACAAAATCAATGACTCATTTTTATAAAAAGAGGTTTCCCCCTTCAAATCTCTCTCTCAATGGGGTGCACGAAAGGAAAATCCTTGAAGATTGTGGATCAATAATACTTTGGCACAACTGGGCTCCATAATTCAGTAAAAACTATCACACACGTTATCCCCACTGCAAATTTGCTGTAGAAATATTACCCCCGTGGTGTGCCCTCCCTTCTATAAAATATAGGGCTAGCCACTAATTTAACGTAAGTAATAAAGCAACTGCCTTTGTTTAAATTCAAATAAATTTGTGTATTTCAAAAATATAAAAAGCATCATAAGGTAACTTATAATTTGCAACTCAATTAAAGCTCCCTCTCAGTTTAGGAGAGCCAACTTCAAAATACACAGGCATACACTTTCTACTCACAGCAGAACCATAATGGTTTACAGATGGAAACAGGAGTGCCAGTTAACAGTGGTCCTCACATATTAATCCACCAATTAAATCAGTTAACTACTGACTTCGAACTGAACAAGATGGTGCAAAAGGAAGAACTACATACATGAAAATAAATGTCCAGCATAGCTTGGAAAAAAGGAAGCCTGTTACCTCACTAGTCAGAGCAAACTAGTCATCAGAAAGGAGAGTGCTCAACAAAATAAAATATATCTGCAAAAGGGCTGAAAAAGAAGTGAAAGGAATCATGTATAGCTTTCATTCTGTTGCACCATGTTCTTGGAGCCACATTTTGGAACTCTTTTCTCAATAACCTTCAACAGGCTGCAGTGGTAAGGCGCTTCCTTGTTCCCCAGTTTCAGCTTAAATATCTTCACAAATATAACTAAGCACTGCAGATAGGAGCAATAAATATTATGTTGGGGTCCAAACACCCAAGAGATGCAGCAAATATGAATGAAACCTCTCCAAAGCCTGCCTATTTATTTATAGTATGTCTTGTCCTCCTTCACCATCCCAATGTCAGTTACATGATGTAATCTACAGAAAAAAGCAGCTAAATTAGAAAATGTTACCAGCTCAATGTTTTGTGTGACTTAAGTAACTTAAGGAGCTGGCTGTGGGTGACACAAATAGCAAACTTCAACAGGTGAAGAATTCAAGTCTTACAGAATCATAGAGTTGTAAGGGACCCCAGGGGTCCTCTAGTCCAACCATTGAAATACAGAGATAGATAAAAATGAATATTGTCCAGGGAAATAGAAAAAATAAGCTCATTACCGTTTGTCTGTTTATTATTAGTGTTGCTGCAAATGGACCATTTGATTATTGTTCATCTTTGGGCTCTGAATAACCTCTTGTATCTAATGGGTTTTTTTCCCTCCACCTCCTGCCCCATGTGCCTGGTGGGAGACAGAAGTGCCCCTCCCCATCACACATTGGGCAGGCAGGGGCTGCTGATCATCACTACAGATTGTATTCCCAAGCAGGCAGCAGCAACGGTGGAAAGAAGAGTCCTACCTCAACCTACTCCTCCGCTTGCCAACAGTGGCATCTGCTCAGTGTAGACATCAAGAATTTGAATGTCAATATCTTTGCCTTTAAATGAATGGAAAAGAGTGCAAGCAACAGTGACTAACGGCAAGCAACGACTCACCTGCCTGTCCCCTCCCTCTGGGCAGTGGTAGCTGTTGCTTCTAGCTGCCTATGCTGCCCACTTGATGGGCTAGCAGATGCAATGGCATGTAGCCACTGCTACAGCTGCTGAATGCCAGATTTGGAATCGGATGCAGGGAGAGGAGATGAGAGGAGCAATGGCTCTCCCTTGGAAGAAAGCAAGATGGATGGTCAAACCCAATACTCCAGGCAGCCTTTCTCAACCTGTGGGTCCTCAGATGTTGTTGAACTACAACTCCCATCACCCCTAGCTAGCAAGGTCAGAGCTCAGGGATGATGGGCGTTGTAGTCCAACAACATCTGGGGACCCACAGGTTGAGAACCGCTGCTCCAGGGAATCCAATATCCCCACAGCCAGAATATAGGAGTCAAATAATGGCAGGTGCCTCATGATGGTCAGCAGTTGGCATTGGGCTCTTCTGAGGCCCTGAGGTCTTGGCATCTGCCCAGAAATGCCCAGACCTTAGGACACACTGGTTCTTGTGGCTGTTCTCTTTAGTATCAGCCCATAATAAAACCCATTAAAAGCACAGTCGTGCACGGAAAGTTTTGCATTTGTGCAAGCCTTAAACAAAGGAGGAGAGGCAATACTAGGGATCTGTCTGTTTGTTTATCATTATCTAATAAACTACTTGATCATCCTTCTGTACTGGCACTTTTCCATTTTAAATAAAGAGCAATCTCGATAGAACTGAAGGGCTGTCATTGTAATCAAAAGAAGAAAGTGCTTTCAGGTTATCACTGGCTTCCTCATATACTCCAGTGAAACCATTTTTTCTTCCTTAAGCATACTTGAATGAACTGTTTGAATATGTTTACTCTTTCATCTTTACAGCTTTGAAAACCTCAGACTTTGTATCTGATCTACAACAAAGACTAAGGACTGCAGAGGTTGACAGCATGGGCGTAATTAAAGACTACCATCAATGAGGTGCCATGTTGAACAATAACTGTCGTATAATGCACTCCAGAATCAACTGTTTACATTTCAAACTATTGAACTTTAAAAGGTTTGAACAGGTGCAGCTCAGCTTGTTCTAATAAAGGATTTTAAAAGCAGAGCTATGAACTTTTCCTACAATTCAGGCTATACTTGCTGCCCTCCTTATTACTCATGGGTTTTCTGATCAGCAGTCAATCATACAGTAGTGTCAAAGTTGTAAAATGGCACATTTAATTAGACATAAGCCAACCAAAGCAGCCACAAGCACCCAGAAAAACCAAACCTTAAGTTACTCTGCAGTATAATGGCAGAGAGGATGAGCTGATCCTCAGCACAAAATTTGCTCATCCATGAATTTATTATATTACTTTAGAAAAGTGACTGTGTTTCAGCCTTGGCTCCCTATACTGACCTACCTTACAAGATTGTTGTGAGAATTACCAAGGCAAATGTCTTGGAAATTCTGATAAATTGAAAGGCATGAGCAAAAGGAATCAATAAAGTATTTGGAGCGCTCTAAAGCATTTTGTAACTGAAAAGTATTCTTACACGGCACAAAGTAGCCCTTTCCCCCTCCTGTCTCGCCTAATTGCATGCAACAGATTAAAAAAACAAAAGCCAAAAACATTAGCACAGTGAGAATAATTGATTTGCTATTAGGGTATCTGTGGTGTCAGTCAAAGTCTGGATAGGCTTGTCTAAAAAAGTTTTTAGCAGGCACAGAAAAGAATACACTGAAGGTAGCTACCTAACCTCAATAGGCAGGGAGTTCCGAAGTATAGGTGCTGTCACACTAAAACATGACTTTATTACAAATGAAGAATAAGTATTATGTGGCACCTGTAAGTGCCAGTTATACAATTTGAAGTGGTCAAGTAGACATATATGGGGTA